GCGCATGCGTCCGTATTTTCTCATCTTGTAGCAGCAGGCCAGGTATCAGCAGACAGACCCGTTTACCTCGGCGCTGCAGACGGATTAGTGTGAGCGTGAGCTTTGATGTCAAATTTATGGACAGTGGAAAAGCATCTAAGTGCCTCTCGGAATGATCTGTTTGTTCATGAGACATTATAAGGCGAGCAGAAACCCACGGGAGAGGAAAAATTATAAAAACATGCAGAAAGGGCTGGTGGTGAAATTCCTTTTGTTTACGATTGTTCGTTATTTTCATGTTTTATTCATTCAGGTTTGATGGGTCATTTGTACTAAAGAAGTAACAGAACTCTGCATGGTTTAGGGAAAGCTGAACGGGGCATTCTGTTGTATGAAACACATTCTGCTGTCTGAAGGCCTAATGAGTAATAATGTTGTTGTCATGCACGGTTTGCACTTAAGCAAATACTACTTCATTATTTATCCACTGTTGTTGCAGTCAGATTTAATCTTGTCCCTGTAATTGCTTAAAGGAAAAACAAAGAGTGTGCTCACAGCAGTGCGTTTGCGGGTTTTACAGCAGCACTACCACTTAAGGTCACTTACTTGTTCTGTTCTTTCTTTCTTTTTTTTTTTATTATTTCTTATCAGGCGTTTTGGCCTAAAGCTCAGGCAGCTCATCTCCCTCAGGTCCTACTTCTGGAGCTTGTAAACACTTTCAACGAGCCTCTTTATTGACATAATCAGGTTGAGTGGTGCTGATGTGGTGACATTTGCTGTAATAGGAGACTGATAATCCTCACACAATTGCTTTCCTTCTTTTGGACTACAGGGGAGGCCAAGGGGGACACGGTCCGCTTCTGCAGGCAATCTACTGCCCACCAAGTGACCATGAACAGGATAGCCTCACCTCACTCTTTAACTTGCATTACCCTGTGGAAAATAGGAGTCCTGCAAGATCAAACCATCTGCGGTAAAATGGTGAAGGGGAATGAGAGGACAAGCACAGACATAAGCTGCAAGAGCTCTCTCAAGTGGTGAAAAAGGAAACTTCTCCATGTCCTTGAATTGTATTTTCATTTATGCTATTCATGGAAATGGGCGTTCTATTGGAAATCATTGCAATATGAATCCACAAGTTGTTTGAGGTTTGGTCTTAAAATGAGTTGTTGAATCTCAAAGGAACACAAAACTTGAAGCAGAACCCCATGATCCTTTCAACCTGAAGCAATATAGATATAGTTATTACAATTTCATCTGTTCCTGGAAAATAAGTGCACATTTGTACATCCCATTTCTTCTATTATCAGAGGTTTACATATAGTGTTATGTAAAAAAAAAAAAAAAGAAAAAGAATTTGAACTTTGTACCTTTTCTTCCACATTACAGTCACAAGCTCTGATGTGTTTTAGTAGGATATTGTGTAACAGCCTATAGAGTTCTAACATTTTCCTCCAAAGAATTGGAAGCTGTGTGAATCGTTTGTACAAAATTAAATCCAATATGGCCAACCGCCTGCAGGAGTCACTTCACCAGCAAATAATTTGTCTCAGCATAAATACAGCTGTTTTCAGGAGGTTTGGTAAATAATTTTACTACACAAGCAACACCACGAAAACCAGGTAACACACCAGAAATGTCAGAGCTTTAAAAACATTTGAAGGAGCTGTGGAGGGGCTGGAACTCAGTTGGAAAAATATGTTGACAGTAAAATGTGTACAATTGATCCAATATCAATTTTTGATCAACTGATCACTGATATATTTTATTATTTGACCTTTGGGTGTTTACTTCAGGTTTTCTTTGAATTATTTTCCTAAAACCTAAGATTCAAATTGGACAAAGTTAAGAGGCATCTACAAAATGCTTCAAATAACAAATTAACATAATAAACAGAAACAACAAATAAATAATGTGCAAAAACATTTCCAAGTTTTGTAAGCATTGAGAAACTATTAAAATGAAACAAAATTTTAAAAAGGAATTTGAAACTAAAGTATCATTCCTATCATGCTTATATTAAACAAATACTGATACCCATCTGGGATCAATATTATTACCATTGTGGATTGTTCCACTCACTTCTGGTAGACAGAAGTTATGCATGCCCCAGAGTGCCATTAGATTTTCAGTTTGCCAGAAGACATCCAGAAAAAAAATGGCCAACATATGGAAGAAGCTGTTCTGTGCATGGCGGAAGACTCACTCCAGACATCTCTCTGATCGCAGCATTCTCACGGTAAAACATGCTGATAACATCATGCTGGAGGATCATATTGTTCATTATTTACATGGAAAGGTGGATGCAGTTGCATACCGTGCAAATCTGCTAGGAAAGCAGTTCCAGGCTTGGAGGAGATTCACCTTTAGCCTCTGAATTTAGATGGGAGAGAGACTTACAGCAAAGTTTTGATCACTGTTTCATGCCACATTTATTCAAATTATGTATTATTTTCAGTTGTATGCTGCTGTGTGCATCAAAATGTGTATTCAGGTTTGTGGATGTAACATGCAAAAATGTTCAAGTGGTATCAATGTTTTTCTAAAATATTCTGATCAGTCAAGTTTGCTACTTTTTCCTCCAGTTAACTGACTCCAGTTTCAGTCTGCTAAGCTTCAGTGTCCAGGAGAAACAAGCAGCTAACTCGGTCTATCAGGCAGGTTCCTATAACCTTCAGGTTGCTCTGGATATTTATTTATTGTATTTGACAAAATCTGAGCACACAGAGTCCCTCTGTGTAGATGTGCATCAACCTGATGGCTTCTGTTTCTGTGCAGTTGCATCATCAATGCCTGCCAGAGTACCATTCTCTCTGGCAGCCACCTGAACAATGACAGAACTACTTTAACTGATGAAGAGGCTCTGAAAGCAGTTTGTGTTTATAGCGTTTTCTGTGCTGAGTCCACTGTAGTTTGTTGAGGAAATCTTTCTGTGCAACCGCTGCCTGGTTCGGACGTATTCAAAATCTGCACTGTTTCGCTAAATTGTAAATGTATGGATATTTTGACACCTACTTACTGACACCTAACTTAACAACTGATAAGGAAAAAAAATTCCTTTTTCATTCTCCCACAACCCATTTGCTGCAAAAATCTCTTTCCTATTCATTGCCCAAGCTGATATATTTAATTTTACTATCATCATAGTTATCTGTTTGAGTCTTTAGTGCAACAAAATACCCATAAAATAAACATTTAGAACCAAACTATCAAAAACTGCATGTTCTGAAATATTAACCACAAAGAGCAACTACGTTTTTTTATTTTCAAACAAATTCAGAATAGACTGCCAGTGCAATAAAATTAGAAAGAAATTCCATTTTATTAGAAAAAGCTATTTTAAACTGTCCGTAGCCATGTTCCTTAAAGGAAAGCAACTTCTCTATCAAAAGCTATTACTTTATATAGGGTTTATTTTGTAAAATTGACTGTTTTTCAGCTTCATATAATTTTATAATATTACTACCTCACTGAGAACATACCTGTAGTGTTGTTTTGATTCTTAATGCATGTTTTATAAATCCTTGAGTCTCCCAGGGCATGCATTTAGCTGAAGCTGTAGTCTCCAGCCAAGCTTACAATCTCAGTGTAACTTGTACTCATGTACATTTGTTTGTTGAACATCATTCCTGGATTACAAAAAAAAAAGGATTTATTACTTTATTTATTGAATTAATTAATTAATTGTAAGCAGCCCTGTATCCAGCAATAGGCCTATCCACTAGCTTGGCAGGCAATGAAAGCTACGTTTATGTTTATCTCTTTTTAAAATCTAAGGCTTGTTTGCTCTACCCACAACTTCTTTATCACAGTTCTATTTTAAGTGGCATGCAGTGAAAATGAATTGCATAAAGTGTTTATAAAAGATGAACATGTGCTGATTTTGCCTTTCCTTTGACAGTAAATGTTGCTCTCTGGGAAATGTGTATTGCTTTTCTGGCATCAAACGGGAACAGAGCAGGAGCAGAAATAAAAATAGGTGCATTGTATGTTTTAATATTTCATGTGCAACGCTAGTGCAAATTGCCTTTGGTATTGGTTTGGTGTTTGCACTGGAAAAGCATGGAATAAATTGGTGTGCTAGTTCAGAGGGCAATACGGAAAGCTCTCTTTTTTTATTTGCTATTAGCACATTAGCTATTTTTTCTTTTGGAAAAAAAATGTTCACGTGGAAATGCTTCTGAAGGTTCTCACCTATCTCCCTTCAATGTCTCTCTAGGAAACTTCTGCAGCCAGAAGCTTGCATTTTTTATTAATTGGTACAATGGTCAGTTTAGATGTGAATACCTTAAGAAACCAAAAGTATAAAAAGACTAATAATGGCTATTTTGTTTCCATGCTATTCATGTGGTTCATTAAGGAACTGAACTGCCCTCCTCAACTTTTACACATACTTTAAGAATTTTTATGGGAGGTTCCATTGTATTGTTTTGTTTGTTTGTTTGTTTGTTTGTTGTTGTTGTTGTTTTTTTAAAATAAAACACAATTGTAAAAAACCTAGCAATTTAAACATGGGCCAAACTGTACCGATGTAACCAAAAGGAAGATTCACCTGCAGTAGCGACCCTTCAGCATAAGAGGGCAGCACAGCAAAGACTTGAAGTCCAAATATTACAGAATTAAACAAGCTTACAGCAAAACGAGTCTATGTGTTGTTGTTCAGCTTTTGGTACTGCAGCAAACCAGATTTCTCAACTAGGCAGCTTTCGTTATTTATTTTTCCTGCATCCCATCTGTCAACATATACTTTGTTTATACGTTGTTAATTTAGTTGTGCTCTTGGCCTAGTGACATAGTAAACATAGTAAGCTGTTCCTATGTTTTATGTAAACAACAAGGTAAAATATAACACTAATCTGTTAGTTGCTTCTTCTGCATGAGAGCTCATATGTTCAGTGCTTTCTAACTTTCATTTTTTCCCCCAGTTAACTGAATTCAGATGTGCTGGAATCTCAAAGTCCACCTCTGCTTCCACCCCCTTCTCTGATTGGCTGGCATCGATGGCACAGTTTAGGGGAGGAAGAATGCCCTGTCCCGCTGTGATTTAGGTGTCATTACTTCCTTCTTCTTTTTTTTGTTTTTGTGATTCTCTGCCTACTCCACAGACAGCAGGAAGATGGCTTCAGCACATGACAGAGCTGTTCTCCAGGCTATATTCAACCCCACCACCCCCTTTGGAGATGTTTCTGCCCTGAACCAAGAGGAAGAATTAATTGATGATGGTGAGCGTGAGCTTCTGACTTGCTGTGTCTCTGCATATCATGTCACAGCATATTGAATTTATTTGAGCACATTCCATTCCAAGGAAGAAAAAAAAAACAAAACAGTGTAATCAAAACTTAGTTCTGGGTGACATTTCTGTGTTTTTCTTTGCCACGGTACCTGTCAGCTGAGTGTGAATGCGCTTCCAACCTGTTTATCTCCTCCTGCCAGACAGGGGTTTTGACATGGAGTTGCTGAAGCAAGTGAGAGAGCTGGAGATGCAGGGTGTCTCAGCGGCAGAGGCTGGGGAGTTGCAAGCTGCTCTTCAGCTGTTCAGCCAGGCAGTCCACATCCTGCCTCAGCGAGCCTCTGCCTATAACAACCGGGCCCAGACCCTGCGGCTGCTGGGGGACACAGCAGGTAAATTCAACAAATCCAGTAATAACCCTTCCCAGAGGCACTGCATTGTGCCAGCATGTCAGACTGCTGAGTCCGAGGCCAGCGTGACACAGTGCAGGAACTCTGCCTGTCTGCTGCATTTTCTCAGCATTGTAACTTCATAAGCCCTGTGTTGGCCTCTTATTATTATAGTCTTTTTATGCGGGTTTTAGGAAGTGGATTCCAGGAATTTTACTGTTCGTATCATGTTTATCTAAATGCATTTTCACACCTGATAGTCAGCTAAAAATAATTTTTTTATCTGATACGGTTTCATTTCACACTGCACTGTTCCAAACAAACCTATTGGTTAAAGGAAGTTGTTAGTCATTAGTTGTTTCTAACATTATCAATGTAATGCAACGCATTTCTGTGTGTTTCATGCACAATACTTTTCTCATATCTTCTATTTTATTCTATTGTTTATTTTTCTATGTTGTATTTGTTGCTTCCTCCTTTGAAAAAGAGGTTTTTAATATTAATGAGTTTTTCTTTACCCTAAAAAAAGAAGCTTTTACTGTTACAAATACTGCAATTTAGGTAAAACTACTCAAAGAAATGATCAGCAAACAAAAGTTTACAGCTGTATATGATTCTTTTTTAAAATATACTAGAATGAAAATCCTCCTCTATAACATATTTCTGCATACTTTATCGTGCCAGGAGCCCTTCAGGATCTCGATCAAGCCATCTCCCTCAGCGGCGGTGCAGGACGCAGCGCCTGCCAGGCTCTGGTACAGAGAGGCCTCCTGCGGAGACTAGCGTGCCAGAATGATGAGGCCAGAGTGGATTTTGAGAAAGCGGCTGCTCTCGGAAGTGAATTTGCTCGACAGCAGGCAGTGCTTCTTAATCCATATGCAGCTCTGTGCAACAAAATGCTGTCAGAGGTGATCAATAATCTTCGCAACCCCATGTTGCCAGAGACGGAGTAGTCGGTGAAGATATTTTTGTCAGTGTCTTTTATTCTGATGCTGAATGTCACAAAATTAAAATGTTTGCTTTTTTTAATGTCTTTAAATGACTTTGTCGTTAGTGCTCCTTCCACTGTAATACTGAAAAGTGTGTTAGAAACAAATAATTCAGTTTTGTTTCCAATTTTTCACTGTTCAACATTTGTGCATTCAAGTCGATTATTTGTATTGCACATTTCAACAAAAAGGTCGTTTAAAGTATTCTACACCATAAAAACATAATACAATTCTGAAACAAGCAATAAGCATTACATTCTGTCAAATGATCAAGCAAATATTCATCACATATGTTGACAAATGTTCCAGTTGTTATGAATCAAAAGTAACTCTAAACAGGTGGGTTTCAGCCTTGATTTGAACAAACTCAGTTTTAAGCTGTTTTATAACATTTCTGGAAGTTTTCTCCAGATTAATGGAGTATGACAACTGAACTCTGCTTCTCCATTCAGAGTAAACTTAAATTAGAAGACCTGAGGGATCTGGAGGGTTGATACATAAAATCTTTAATGTATTTTGATAATAAGTCATTCAGTGATTTATAAACTAACAAAAGTGTTTTCAAATGTAGTATCAGAGATACAGGAACCCAGTGTAAGGACTTTTGAGCTGGAGTCAGGTGCTCTATTTTTCCAGTCTTAGTGAGAAAGCGCAGCTGTCTGATCTGAAAAGAAATCAGTAATCAATGTAACTAAAGATAAATGCATGCATGAGTTTCTTCAGATGTTTGTGTAATCCTAAAAGTGTTCTTCAGGTGATAGAAGGCCAACTTTGTAACTGTCTTTATGTGTCTCTGGAGGTTCAGGTCAGAGTTCATCACTACACCCAGATTTCAGGCCTGATCTCAAGTTTCTAGCAGTAATAGCCAAAGCTGTGCGACGACTCTCGATCGGCCCTCTTTAGGTCCAAAGATAATAACTTCAGCTGGAAAAAGTTATGGCACATCCACATATTTATCTGTTCTGGTGCCTATCTGCAGCTGTGGACAAGCAAAAGGCGGGGTCACACTGGACAGGTCGCCGGTCCATCACAGGGCCACACAGAGACAGACAGGACAAGCAACCATGCACACACACTCACACCTAAGGAAGCCGGAGAGAACCCACGCATGCACAGTGAGAACATGCAAACTACATGCAGAAAGACCCCAGTCTGGGAATTGAACCCAGGACCTTCTTGCTGCAAGGCAACAGTGCTACCAACTGTGGAAAATAAAAAAATATATATATATTTTTCGAATCCACACTAAAGGCAGCCTGGATTCAGATATCTAAATTCTTTTAATACACTGTAATGTGATGCCATGTTTTGTGCAGGCACTTCTGCTCTGCTCCACTGGATGTCAGTCTTGCCATGTTGAACCAGCTGCATCATTTCCTTTTGGCTTTTCAAGCAACAAGGGTAATTTTTGCTTAAAGCTAAAACCAAGACAATTATTTAATTAATTTTACTCTTAAGTGAGATGATTAAAAATGCCTAACGAAGGTTTTTACAGCTTTTACACGGCAGCTGTGCAGAACACATGTATCAGCCAATTTCTTCAGTGATTCCTAAGATGACATTGCTCCTGCTGTGGTCCACCCACTGCGTTCCAAGATGTAAGGATTATCTTTTGTGCTTCAGTTCTTGGTGCTTTACTCTGACCTCTTGCAGGCAGGCCAGAGCCGCCGGCTCCCTGCGCTCCTCTCTCTGATAGAAGGAGCAGCTTTTCAGGTGCTCCGACATGGAAGGAGCATTACTGAAACTCCAGCGGTCCACAGGAGAAAACAGAGAGCTGAACCTCCAGATCTGTGAAACATAAAGAAAAAATATAACTTCAGCAGCAGGGCAAACTGCAGTATTTTTAACTTAGATGGGATCTAGAGCACTGAGTATTTTCATTCCATGTCAGAGCATGATGGGATTTCTGAACCGTCTGTTACAAACTTGTACAAATTATGCCAGTCATTGCAGATCAAATACCCAGCTGTTGCCCAGGCATTCATTTCAACCTGAAGTGTTTCCAGGGGAGATCATATATCCCACTTGTTACTGTGTTTGGTTTTAGGCCATTCCACATCAATGATGTCGCTGGAATCCTCTTTGTCTCGTGATTACCTCCTGACCAACACTCAGTGTAAAAATAGATGCAAGAATTAATGCCCTTCCTCTTTGTAAGCTTCAGGTAAGACAGTTTCTGAAATGTACTGTCATCAGAAAATATATTTTAAAAACTCTGTAATGGGTTACACTTTATTCTTATTTGTACCACCTACTTTTACTTTGATGGTCATTAAGTGTCACAAAAACTGTGGCGCCACCTTTCACATGTGTAAGCAAGAAGAGCACGAGCTTCTATGTCCAAACGAGACGGTGCCTTGCTTTAATGATTTTGGTCTAAAATATGATCTAAAATAATTTGATTTCAAATATATTATTGTTTACTAAAAAGTTTTAAATGCATTCTTAAAGTCCACTTCAATAACTCTGCACCTGCCACTGAAAGTGAGCACGATTTATCTGCTCTGTCTGAAGCAGTCCTCCAGATTTGGATGCATTTCAGAAGGAGACGGTGCTAACACAAAACGCTGACTTTCAATTACTACTGCTCAGCACTTCTAAATTATTCAACAGCTTCTACACAGCGCTCATAAATCTGAATGAGGCTTAAGTGAAACTTATGTGGGTGTAGTTTCCTGGAACAACCAGCATCTTTGTGGCATCACAATCTAAGGAGGCTAGTTGCTGTGGAAAACAAAAACGGGTAAACCTGGTGAGATGACAGCTGTTGAATATGACCTCTGACATTTTAGCAGAGTTGCTGTGAGCTCCCAAAGAAAAAGAAACACATGAGAAATAAATGAATCTTTTCAGCTCTATGATGTGAATATCGATACTTCTTCAAATTCAACATTTCTTGAAGTTCCACTGTGTTTTAATTTGTGCTATTTTATTTCACAATGAAGTAAATATGTCACCTTCAGTTGTTATATACATAGTTGTATATGTTAAACAAACATAAAAAAGAAATTTGACTTTGCAATTTGACATCTTGAAAATGTCCTTTGTCTCTTTCAGAATCAGATTTTTTATTTTTGTAGAGCCGTTACATATTAAACATGACCGTAATCACATTTTGTAATTTTGTAAACTGCGTACTTCGACCACAATTTATGTCCAAATTTACTGGCTTCTTCTGGTGGAGAATTATGACGCATGACTCACATCAGTGATGTAAAATTTGGAGGAAGTGCAACACAACTGTTCAGACTACAAACGCTTTGAAAACTATTGGATATGTGATGGATTTTGCACAATGTATGGAAATGGCACAAATCAGATTTTTTGAGGGTTGCAAAGATTGGAACTTGGCCTCTCAGATTGCTGCGAAAAGGTTGGTTTGGGTTACGCAGGAGTAAAAACGTATAATTTGTCTCACATCTGTCTGCTTAGTGAATGTAGTCTTTCTGTGATTCCTAAAAGTAATTTATTCTGCTGGATTTATTTCAGTGGTGGTGCGGGTTGAATACAAATGCATTGCATAAAGGATTCAGGGTAATATTAAATACACTTTTTGCTTTGTTTTTCCCAACTTTTTAAAAGCATGCAACTTTTTCTTCTCCCTAAAGTTCTGCACTGCCTTTTTTCTATCTATCACATAAAAGTGAATGTCCTCATTGTATTATGAGTAGGATTAATTCCTTTACAAGCCATTGTGCCATCAGTTTAATGAACCATTGATGGACATGGAACAAAGCGCTTCACTCATGTTTCATTTTGCTGCCTGACTCTAAAGGGCAGTAATCTTCACTGAAGACAGTAAAAGGTGAAAAAAGTCAGAAGCCACTTTAAGGGGAAAGCCATTAAAAGCTGCCAACCCTGCTGTTAGAGACTGAAATACTGTTGGAGAGGACTACTGAGAGCTTAGAGAGTATTTACAGCAGCTGCTGTCATGTTTTATGAATGACTGAAATGTTCCAATGACACAAAGTAATGATGACAGTTACTACCTGATATACCAATATGGAAATGTGGCCTTGTATTTACTTTCCACAAGATTGAGATTAAAATTGGACCATTCTGTACTAGATTAAACTGAGACGATAAAACCATCTGCAGCAATGAACAAAATAAGGAAAATCTGAAAATACTTGCTTTTTTCCGACTTTTCCATGAACTTCCACCATGAGAATATATCTTTTTCTTCCACTCCAAAAACACCATTCCTCTGTCCTGCAACAGTGTGGCACAAACTTCTCTCATCAGATGGGAAACTTGTGATAGCTGAGACAGAGTAAAACTGTCAAGGTAGCCAGCAATATGCTGAAGGATCTCAAGAGGTAGACTGCTGAGGCCATTGACATCTTGACCAGCACTTCCTTGAGGGCTCAGACTTTTCCCAGCGTCTGTGAAGGATGTAGGGAAGAGTGGCTGAAGTACAAGGGTGCTGACATCTTGGCGGTATTTGATCGTTGCTTCTTGACCTGACGGGTGAAACCTTGTCTGAGAAAAAGTGCAGCCGAGGTATGCCAAAGGGCAGCGCTGTTGAAACCAGCCACTTAGAGAGGCCTGTATGTCACAGTGAGCATTCCTGAAATGATACTGGAATTCATCGCGGCGGAAGTAGTGGCCGCACATGTAGCTGAAAGATGAGCTGATTTTGTTGTGTCTTCTGGTGACAGGTTCAGTTTCAACATCAAGATGGAGGCCATGAGGTCGTTCTGCAATGACATCAGCTAGAGTTGCATCTGCTTTAAAGGGGGCAGAAGAAAAGTTGTACGTTTGTGTTCCTGTATCTACATAAAGACCATCTGTCGCAACACTCTCTGAAATTAAATGTCCCTTCAGTTCTTTTTCGAGGGAACAGAGAAGTGTTGCACTGACCTCTTCAGATGTGGGAAGATTTTCAACTGACACGTCCAAATCTAGAGTATCCACACTCTGGTGTGCAGTTTTGGCCTTGTGTGATGGGTCCTTGAGGTGACTGCGCTTTGCTCGGTAGCTGGCAGGAACGTTAAATGAGCGGACGGTCTGAACCTCGATTGGCTCCAGATTACCGTAAACAAAGTCCTTATCTCTTGGAGTGCATGCAGCAAGTTGACCAAAGTTAATTAGCATTGCCCCGTTGTGCACCAGGTACATGTTATATTCTGCAATATTGACTTCTTTGCCCAACCTTTCAAGGACACCGTCCTGCCAAGGTGCAAGGCCAGTTCCACCATTCATATTTCTGGATTCATTAACTTCAGGTTGATGTGAGTTTCTGTTTCCCACCTTTTCTACTTCGCAGTTTAAAGATTTTTGCTCTTCCTTTTCTTCCTCTTTTCCTCCATTATTTAAGCATTTAACAGCTTGGTTGCACCCTTCCTTATCCTTCTTAAATATTTTCTCCCATGAATTGTAATTTTGGGTACTTGCCACATTCCCATTTTTTGCCAAGGCATCTGTCTCTTCTTGACTCAGTTCTCTTCCCTCCATCTCTGCTCTGCGATTTTCTGTAAATTCGCCACAATCTAAAGAGCAGGAGGTGTCCTCAACAGAATTGCTAACTCCATTGGAAATATTTGGAGAGGCAGGCTCTTCCTCAATCATCTCAGGAAAAATGCTTTTCATTTTAATGGACTGAAACAGCAGGGCTTGATCCCGGAGGGCCAGAGCAAAGTCAAGGTTTGCCTCTGTGTTCTGTTGAAGACTTTCAGAAACGTTTCTGTAAAAGGTCATGTCTGTTTCAGGAACAGGCCAGCGGTTCCACTCCTGAGAGCAGCAGACAACACTGGCTGGGCAGACCTCCAGGTGTTTGGCTGACTTGTGGCGAGGCATTTTGAGCGGACAGCCAAAGTCAGCATTAAAGCAAGGCACCGTCTCGTTTGGACATAGAAGCTCGTGCTCTTCTTGCTTACACATGTGAAAGGTGGCGCCACAGTTTTTGTGACACTTAATGACCATACATGAGATGGAAAGATTTACTGGGGCTTGACAGCTGACACTGTAACACTTGTCACAGTGATCATGGATGCCCGTTGCCATTCTTGTTCCTTTTGCCTGAAGAGACAAAGAAAAACACAACACAACGTGGGCAATATTTCTGCAATTGCTAGGCATTTGCACCAGCTATTTCTTTGTCAAGAATAATCGTAATAACAATTTAAAAAAAAGAACTATCTTCAATTGTGCTGTTGAAGATTGGTTTTGGATGACAGTAACTAAAGCTCCACCTACAAGGACACAATTTTAGGCAGGATTTTTTTGTCATTTAGGTAGTGCATTCACATGAATTTAGCATCTTGTGAAACTAGAAATGACCACTTTTGATACCGGGTTCTATAGTGGATGTATTTTGACGCGCCACCAACCTTTCTATCCCGCATGTGCCTCTCAGATTTTTTCTTAATCATTTACAAAAAACATACTGTGCTCATCTCCGTGTGTACAGGGCCAAAAATAATCACTTCTTTCAGCCATGGTATACAAAATACCATCTTTAATGCAGATTGCCTACACCATTGAAAGACTACACCCAGTGCCGCTCCTTCCAGTGTGGCTCATATTTGCTCAACCTGTCCAAAATCGGACACCAAGAGATTACAATAATGTCTCGTGGTCTGAATTCAGCTGCGATATTCACACTGGTTGTGGTGCAACAATGTGTGAGAAACATTTTCTAGGTGCATTTTGCCTTTTCTCTCCCAGCAACACTAGTTTAAAAACCACCGCCTTCTTCCTCAGGGTAGAATATCATGTCCCAAATCCCAAATCATCTCCCACTAGTTTACTGAACATGACAGTGAGTTGGCTTTCAATCAAATCGGATGTCGATCCAACAGAGCTCCCCTCAGAAGAGGGCAATTTGCATTATGGATTTACAGCCGGCAAGTCTGCTGCAACTGAGTGATGTTATCATGACAGTATGAACCATAAGCTAGGATGGGACCCAGAGTCTTTGTTGACTCTGCGTCTCAAAGAATTAAGGAAGGCCTGAGAATCAGATCCAATACATCAAACCTAATAAAGCAGGTGGTAGCAGTGACCTCATTAGTGAAAACAATGCATATTTTAAACACTTTTTTAATTTAATTTTTTATTTTTATTTTAGGCCTGGGGGTAAAACATATCTGTACTCACCATTTGGAATCTAACTGTTTCAGAACATTTGTTTGTTGTCCTGTAAAATAAAATGCAGCATCAGCATCCAAGAAAAAGCAGCAAAAATATGTAAATCTTAAAATGCATAGCTTTTAATTGCAATTCTATTATAAAGTTAACAAAGGTTTTAGTCAGCAGCTGCTACAATAACAACATTCTCACCCTTTGTTCTTCTGTCGCCTTGTGCTCACCGGCACCTCTGAATAACCTCTGCACTGTCTGGACATTATAAATAGACACAACAAAGTGGCAGACAGGCCAGTGGGATGGGGCACCACTGTCACACAGCCATTAAGAACCAAGGTCAAGTTACAGCCTCCACCTCCACTCCACAACGAGAGGGTGACGAGGAAGGCAGATAATCCGAGTAATTAGCAGTTCAGCTATTGCATGTTGATCCCTTCCTTGGTAAATTACTGTACTTATTTTAGCAGTAGAGCTAAATGACAGTGCCAGAGGGGTTACAGTGGAAGTCATAAGCAGTACTTTTACTTTTTCTTTTTCTTTTTTTTATTTGTATTTTATCAACTCTTGCCATGCTTCATGTGTCCACTGGATGTCAGTCACACACTTTCAGAAATCCAACCAACATTTTCCCTGCAGTCTTTTCTGCGCTCTAAAATAATGGTAATGATAATAAAAACCTTACATGGATTAGGTGACACTTGGTATTGTGTTGCTTTCAACTTGCTTTAAAATATGTGTGTTTAACAGCACTGAAATATGATGACCGTGTCTCAAGCTTTTTGAGCAAAACGTGTCTGCATGGAAAACAATTCTCATCATGTTAAAGTAAATCCCTAATTACAACTGCGGTAGTAAAAAAGGGTCCACAGCTGTTAGGTTTCTTCATATTAAAAAATCTGCATCTGCCTCTCTCAGGCAGGCTTGTCATTCACACGTTTTATTTAATCAATTTAATTCTCTCAGAGGCAATGCTGTTCAAAACAGTGGGATGCTTAACTAGCCTAAATAGCTATAAGTAATTACACTAATTTACATTAATTCTGCTTGAACTATCCTCCCCTTTACTCACTCCACATCAGTCTGAAAATATCCCCGGCAACTATTTCATACCCCTGTAGAAAATGTGCTGATTCCTTCTTTTTTTTTTTTTCTTTCTTTCTTTCTTTCTTTCTTTTTGTCCTGCTGCAGATCACAATGAGCAGCTTATCAGAGCCAGCTGATTTGTTCTCTATAGACCCTGCAATCAGCATACATTACAACTCGCAGACAGAGAGGAGGGTCAGACACCATGCTGAAGAAAAGAGAATTCAGCATCACTGTTTTGTAGCTGCACATTGAGAGCAGAATGTTGTTGAGCTTAAATTATTCCAGCGAAATTACAGAATGCTTCAAAACAGGTGGAGGAAAAAATAAAAATAATATATATATATATATATATATATATATATATATATATATATATATATATATATATATATATATATATATATATATATATATATATATATATATACTTGAAATTAATACAAACTCCAGTGAGTTTATGTGCATGAAGATTTTCTTCCAATAACTAATTGTAACTTGAGTAGTGTTTGCCAGCTGCTGGGTATTTAGCATGCAGTCTGAAAGTAGTTTGATGTTCTGCCTCGCAGCAGAGATGAAAACATGTACTTACCAGAAGAATTAAAGCTCAAGTAATAACACAACAGCTTGATAATTTAATAATGTATGGATAAGCCAAATTGTGCAAAACAATACAGAAGCTTTACAAGGGTTCAGATGGAGTGCATCAAGTGGTGAAAAGCCCAGCCCTTTATGACAATGATAGAGCTGTTTCTAATTTTTCCAGTTTCCATTCTGAATGTGTGAGCTCACCAGAAATGTCATCATCTTGTCCTGCTTAAAAATATGATTTTTTAGCCAGATGCCACAGTAAAGGTGCAGGGGAGCCGTGTTATTTATACCACCTCTCATCAGCAGATGTGGGGTAGTTACTGGTCAGGGGGTATGCAAACTTTCTAAAACACAAATTTGCTCTGTCATACAGTTCCTGCAGCTTAAAAGTCATTTTAATGAGACGCCAGTGAAAATGCCAGAATGACCAGAGTTTCCTCTACGCAGAACTGAACAGCTAAAAAAAAACCCATAATATTCTCAGAATAAGCAGTTGAATACTAATGAAACACTGGGTTTATTCTGTATTTTTACACATATTGTAGCAGAACCAATTAACAATGTTTACATTTTATAAATAACAACATAATACCAGTAACATTTGGTCAAAATTATTGCTTTTTTATTTGAACAGAAGCAAATTAGAGGTTTTAAAACATTATGTCGATCCAGACAAACTTGAAAAATAGATTTGTATTCGAGAGTCTTATATCTTCACGAGCCGCTATGCCTCATTAGATCTATTATATGTCAGACATGTGGAGTGTATCCAAAACAAGCCATGTGTAAAATGTTTTATTGGAGCTGTGAGTAGAATTAGTTTTGCTTGTTACTGCAGAATACAAGTTTAATATAAATACATGCCTATTAAGTGCTGCAGCAGGTCTCCAACTTCCTTCCACAGTCAAAAACATAATTCTAAGTTGCCCCAAAGGTATTAATGCATGTGTGTCTATTTTCACTAGAGATTTTGTGAAGATGTGATGATTTGGTTGTCTGTATGTTGAAGTGATATTTATATATTTTTTTTATTAATTTAACATGGAAAAATAAAGGACGACAGAATAGCAAAAACATAAATGGCAATTTTTTCTATACAGGAATATAGCATCTCATAAACCACATTTGTTAAATGTAGGATGTCATTACATTTTATGTAACTGTAACTTGCCAAACTAGATCAATATGAAAAGTACTAATATTAAGAAGTACTCACTGAATCTAGTCTGCCATTTATTAATATGTTTACAATATGTTAAAGGGTTTTATAAATATTATCTACCATAACTGGCCCTTTGAGAGCATTCATGATCTTGAGATGACCCAAAATGTGTTTGATAAACTATACTGTTACGTCTGGAGCAGTAGAATATACAATTAGTGACGTCTGTTTTGGACCTGGCACAAAACATGGACATTTTGAATGAACATTACTTGCTGAAACTTAGCTTCTGGTACTTATTAATTGTGTAGTTTCCATAATTTCTAAATTTCTTCTTGATCAACATTTAAGGTTTTATGGCCTTTACAATGGCATTCACAAGAAGCAAAGTCTGTAAGACGTCTGTCAAGAATTTCCTTGAAAAAGACGATCGGTCTGGGTCACTGAAAACTGTATGTGTCAAAACAGAAACTGAAACATTTGGTGAGTTTATTGAACAATACAGACTAAAGCCAGCTCAGTTTTGGAACAATTAAAGTTGATGAATAAAGTATTGGACTGTCACTTTTTATCATAATGATTTTTATGTAATTAGCATTTAAATGTTGACCTTTTGTTTTATTAGGCCTATTAAATGTTTGCAAATACAGTTCATACAACTCTTTACTGTAAACACACTCTCAAGTGTTTCTTTTGACAAATAACCATATTTCTAAAAAGTACTGAAATATCTACTCTCAATATATCAGCCAACTTTAAAAGTACAATTTGCATTGCCCCCCTCTGAGAATTTTAGTTTTCACTGGAAATGTGTAAAACTGCAAATAAATTACTGTGCATATATATTTACTATTCAGTAGTGTTTCAGTTGTACATTTAATAAAAAAACAAACAAAAATATGCAATTTAAATAATTTCATTAACATCTATACAAATAATGAGTGACTAAATCAAGTCTGAAAAGGAGACAGTTGAGCAACAATCTGTTTATCTAAAGAAATTAGGCTTTTAAACAAATTCAGCAAATGACTTCTCAGCTTGAGATGTTGTGTAACGTATAGTGGCTCAAAAAAGGAGATAATTACAGTGTGTTCATTTTCTGTAACATGGATTTTAACAATGCTGAGCTGTGAGGTTAATGATTCCTACAAGCTCCGTGCCATTTAACTCAAACCTAATGTTCTGAAATATAATTGGAAAATCTTAAGATGTCAGAGAGAAACTTTGATTAATATTTCAGGCTTATAATAGCTGTCAGCACACAGCAAGACATCAGTGCTTTTAAGTTGAATATTTGCTTGTTTCCACTAAAACTTGAGAGCTGTATTCCAAGAAAGATAGTCTACTGAAGCTCCTATATCTCTCATTATATCCTCTCGCTTTTTTTAGGTATTCTCTTTTATATCTTTTCCCTTTAAAGACTGCCCCCGTTTTGAAGTTTCTGCCTAGTTTATTATACCTGACAAAACATATTAATAAGCTGAAACCACTGGGAGAGCAGGCTGAAAAATTTACTTCTGCTGAATTTTCACAAAGGAAAAAGGAGTCTTCCAGTTTGTATTTATTAAGCCCAAGACGACCTTAAATAAGCTTTAGAAATGTTATGCAAATGTGCTATGAAAATGCAAAAACCCAGAGGTGGGCTCAAATAATAAATGAGGAAAATCCTCAAATAAAACAAAAGCTGTGTGGGATGCATGGATTGCATGTCCAATTTCATATTAATCAAAGACGGATTCTTTCTTTTTCTGCCTCCCATTTAATGTTGTGGCACTGAGCTAACTGCATTTATGAAGCACTGTTGCAGGGTCATGAATATAAATAGATGTTTGTGCTCACGACATTTCTTTTTAACTACAACTAAGACAGAAGAACTGTTTCCATTGCAGTGTAAGCATTTTTAGTTAAAGATCAAATATAATCTTCAAAAGCCAAAAAATATGAATCCTCTCCTCGAAAAACTTTTTTTAGTTATTGTGTCAAATAAAAACTGATTATGTGCAAAACAGAGAGACTGTCAGTGGTTTTTATTCACTGCTGTTTATATTTTGTACCCACTAACTGTGACATATTCCTGATCATAACAGATTTGTAACAACAATTTTTGAGATTAGACTTAGACTTAGACTTGACTTTATTGATCCCTTGGGAAGACTCCCTCAGGAAATTATATATATTATTTACTGTTGCAAACTATA